CACAGCTACAGAAGGTGATCGATTTTCTTGAATTTCATGGTAAGTAATAAGAGAAGGTTGCGAGGTTATCTATAAAAAAAACTTCGTTATTATCTTTTATATAGTATAGTTATAAAAGAATGAATATTTACTGGATATCTTGCTGTTTCATGTAAAGGGTCCATATGTGTTGGATATCTTGCTTCATTTAGTGTTATAGAATCTATATTATTTGCTGTTTCATTTATTAAAGGGTCAGCGAAAGGTTACGTAGTGGAATGTTGATGTTGTTGCAAGGATAAATTGGTTGTTAAGTTGTGAAAAGGAACGGAATGAGTAGTTGAACGAAATTTATAAAAGTTGGTTTAATTCTTTTTTTTTGAACCATCATAAACTCGATAAATAAAGAAAGCGAGTGATAGAGATTACTTAAGCGTTGATCAACATATTTATTTCAATTGATTTCAATTGATCGTGATACTTAAGTATTAACTTCAATCACTGGTCAATCACATTGAGGGATGCGCTTGAGAACGGCCAAAGATTAAGGTTGAAATATAGTTTATGAAAATTGCAATATTAACCAAATATGTACTAGTTTTCGAATTCCTCTTTGGATTCTTTCGTAAAGTCATTACACATGATATTTCAGTTTAAATAATAAAAGTGTGGGTACAATCTTTTAGATTTTAATGTATTAAAAGAATTAATAAATGAAAATAATAAAAAAGATTTTTTAAATTAATGACCATGAATCCAATGCCCTATAAAAATGCATTATCCATAAATTATATATAAAATGGGGGTATCCGGACATTTCGTCGAATACTTTTCGCCGAAACCCACTTCGTCTAAGCTAATTCACCGAAAGGACTCTTCGCCGAACGACCATTTCGCCGAATGGACTTTTCATTGAAAGACGTTTTCGCCAAAAGGATACTTTGCCGAAAATGACTACTGCGTAAAATTTGTTTAACTTATCATTTTTAGGTTCTATTAAAAGTAAGTTTTTTCTTAAAAATTTCTTTGGAATAATAAAAAAAGTTCAATAAATCTGGCAAATTGCTAACAATCAACATCGAATTATTTTCGTTTTGGCGAAATGCCCTTTCGGTGAAATGGATTTGGAGAAGTGTTCATTTGACAAAATGGATTCGGCAAAATGTCATTTTGGCGATGCGTCCTCTCGGTGAAATGTCCATTCGGAAAAACTTCTTTTCGGTGAAAAGTCCATTCGGCGAAGTGGCCGTTCGGCAAAATGTCCTTTCGGTGAATTGGGTTTTGAAATCATCTTTTTTAAGATGCACAAATTATACATTAAATGTCCTATCAATTTGAAGCTATATATCAATAATGTATATAAAATGTATTCAATAATTAATGTATACTAATTATACATTAAATGAAATTTATCCCCTTAAGAAAATTCTTCAGATTCCTTATCTATTATATAATATATTTTATTACGATTAAAAAATCCCACATAATGATCAATTGCACAAGCATCAATAAATTCATAAGCACCATATTTTGAAAATGACAAGGATCCTACATTATCTTCTTTGATATTTGTAACCCAGTGAATGTATGCTAGTATATAAATTTCTTTGTCAAATTTATACATTAAATAATATTTAACATTTTAAGAAAAGGTTTGCAAAATAATTCAAGTCTCTTTTTTGAAAAGGCAGACCATTTATCTACCTCCATAATAGCCCATATACAATAAATTAATTATTTTTAATATATAAAAAAAACATATTAATAATCACAATGTAAACTAAATACCATAACTGAGTAATTAGTTCATATCCAATCTGGATTTCTCTTAATCCATTTTGAACTAATATAGTCCATCATTTATATGCAAGCGTCTATATTTTGTACCATATTGTAAAATGTTTATAAAAAACATTGAATTTTAGTAGTTCAGTACCATAATTGGCTTCCCATAATTATTTTATTTGTTGAAAACGACTGAGGATTCTATAACCCAGTTTGATTCCTTGATGCGAGCCAGTTTGATTTCTTGTCGTAATTAAGGAATTAATTATTGCGACCTATGATTGGTTGGGCGACACGTGCAACTGAAAATCATTTCACTAAAAAAAAAAAAAAAATAAATCTGAGAAATATTTTGGCATTTCTGTAAACGAAGAGATTGGTCTTTACAGAAAGAGACCTTTCAATATATGTAATAGGAACGATAATAACGACCGAATTCCAAACAAGTAAACTTATTAAGAAATTCAGTCGAGTTGGAACATAAGCGGTTTGATATCTTCTTTAGATTTCAAAACAGGCATATAAATTTATAGGGCACAACAGAAATCAGGTCTTGAAGAAATATAATTTGATAGTTTATATCGCAAATGTTATTTTTCTTGAAATAATTTGAACACTAATGTTGCTTTGGAGTATTTATGGAATGGAGGATGATGGACTTAGAATTCGACCCGTCTCTTAATAATTAATATATGGAGTCCCAACAAGTCTTTTTTATTTAAAGACTTGGCTGAAGTTTTCCTTAATTAACGTAAATCACATTTGTCATTAACTATTTCTTCCTGGTCATCTCAGCATAATTTGTAACACTTTAGATCTTTCATCTAGGCTTTGCTTTTATATGTTTGAAGATAAATATATTTACTCACGCCGTATGAACCCGAGTTTAATTGTTATTAAAGTTTATAAGTAAATAATGGCGATTTAAAGTTAGTAATATCATCGCTCGTGAAAGTCACTTTCATTATTTTATTTACCAGTAATCTTAGACTTTGTTTAACTTTAACATGATATAAATTTGGATGCTCTAACTTGAAAATGATCGATTTTATGAGTTAATGTTTTAATTTTAAAGTTAAACTTGGTCCGATAAAAAAGTTATGGAGAAAATGTTAAAATTTATCACAATAATTACTACTATCTGTCTCTTTCCCAGAATAAAATGGAAGTCGGATTTATTTTTTGATATTATCTAAAAACCGAGCCAAATATCTCACAATTCTATTTAATAAACCTTCACGTCTTTTTTTGTGTTTCTTTAAAATAATGCCAAAAGCAAAACAAACTACATTTATGAAAACCATTACAAAACTTGTAATTAAAGTGAGCAAAGCAATGTCGCTATATTCTGTTGTTGTTATTGCTATAGCATATAATATCTATAGAAAATGAAATCAATTTCATTAAGTGATTAATAAAATACAATGAAATAAATCATGTTAAAGTTTACCTGTATTACTAATTGAGATATGTCTTCAATAATTACGTTTAAAAGTAAACCTCGAAATATCAAATGTTCATTTTGAAATGGAGCTTCAAATATTTCAAGGTTAGCAAACTTTGAATCCAGTAAATGAAGTAGTCCAACATCTCCTACACAAAAAACCACAATTGCTGAAGCTAATTTTAAATTTTTATCAAACCAATTTTTGAATTTAATATTGTAATTATTCTCATGCTTCAATATATAAATTGCCAAGACCAAATTCACCAGAAATGGGACAATTGTGAAAATAATACTGAAAATTGAAATAAATTACAATTAATACGATATTAATTAAATTTGAGTAAATCATATAAATACCTTGGGATTAACAAATCATGCAAATTATTCTTAAGTTTAAAAAGAAATATAATATCATTGGCAATATCAAATAAAGTAAAAGCAGCTTGAAATATTATCAAATTATTTGCATCCTATAATAAAAATTACACATCATTAATTCAAGAAATATCTACTCAACGTTATTATAAAAATACTATATACCTTATTTAAATAATAACCTCCAAGTGTTAGAATAACTAACAAAACTAAACTAAATATGAAAACTGATAAAAATACTTTATCGTCTTTTAGGTATAATAATTTGATTTTAATTTCTTCCCATAAATTAGCTAAGAAAATAAAATAATAATGTTATTATTAGATCAATTAGGGAAAATTCATTTACAATACGTACATGCTTTACGAAGTCCGAAGATTTTATCTATATATTTTGTGTGATTTTTAAGGTCCAAGTATGTTTTAATTTCACTATTGATTTTTAATAATTTGTAAAAATCATCAAAAACATCTTTGGTACTTTTATTATTAAATCCACCTACTATGGGAGGATTAATCCTAAATATCATATAAAGTAATTCTTCATTATCAAATTCAAGATAATGTCGCGAATAATGTAATCGTAAAAGATCTACTGGAATGCTTTCCGAAATTTGTTTTATCATTCCGTCAAAATATGTTGTATCATCTGTATCATCTTTTAAATTCTTATAATATTGTGTGCCTTCAATGTTTAATCGTATGACTCCATATATTATCTCTAAAAGTTAAAGTAAATAAAAATATTCAGCTATCAAAAGAAAGAAAGAATAGATAGATTACTTACCAGAATCATCATTAGTTTTGTTGTATTCTGGAATATATATATTTAATATAAATGATGATTTAACTAATTAAAATTGATAAAGAATTGATTTGCATACCTCCTGTCGTTTTGATTATCCAATTGCCTAGCTTTATACCAGTAATCATTTCACTCTCATCCTTATACTTTAGAAAGTCATCATCAATTTCGACATAATAGGTGGCATTTGGTACATTAAAGGTTATATCAAGTAAAACAATGGTAAGCGAATCATCATCGTCACCAATCACGCAATTTTGTTTGGAGCATAAAAATATTTGCCGTAAAAGGTTTGTGTCATCATGTTTTAGATATATCGATATATTAACGGGAACTGTTGACTCAACAGCACGGGAAAAGGTCATATTCATTGTATTTGTGCCGATAGGAATCGAATCATTCATTGACGGATATATTTTTTTAATTTGGTCATTGTCCTCTAATAATCAAATAAATTGATCGATAAAATGTCAACAGATTCTAATGCTATTACGAACAAGCATATACTTACTTGGAAAGGCTGTTTGGAATTGGATAGACAAGATTAGGAATAAGGTTACAATAACAATGGTTTTCCCCATGGTTAATTTTAAGCGAAAATTGGTAAATGAGGTTGTATTTATAAAAAAAAAAAATTCACTATGCTATTATTGTTATTTAAAGCCATATCCGGAAAACCGGTTGACGTTATTATTACATAAATTATGTGTTTGTTGAAAATAAGGAGCGACATTAGAATAATCTTAATTGGAGACGGCTAAAAAAAAAAAAAATTTCTTTATTCTATTACCTAAAAAGTCCAATAAGAAAATTGAATGTATACCGATATTTATCAAAGTGATAATTACCAAATTCATTATTGTGCATGAAAAGTTTTTCCAAAAAAATAAGTTAGTGAGCATACAAGTACATAGTCGTACAAAATGAATCCTTTTTAAGATTGCTGATCTTTACAAATAAATTAAAAATCATCATCATCATATGCTAGAGGTTGGAACCGGCCGAAAATACTTTAACCGGTTAATAACGCGTTAAAAATTCGTTAATTAACCGGTTCCCAACCTCTATCATATGCAATTAAATGTAGGGCGCAATATGTTAGTGTTTTGCATATTCTACCGAAAAATGACATATTCCATAGCAAAAAATCGATTAAAATAACTAACAATTCGAATAGAATTGCACCAGCCGGAAGGAGGTTTCTTCAAAACAATAATTAAATATAGAAATTTATTTAATATAAAGATTTCATGATTTCGTCTAATGCTTTTTGTTAAAACAAATATTTAAATGCAGAAGTTACTTCAATTTCGCTCATATATGTTCATCTTTCTCATTATCAGCTTTAATATCTCTTAATAGATGTAAAATTTCTATAAAACGTTTTTAAATTGCCACTCAAGATAAAAATATTCGCATTCAAAATACTGTAAATCAGATTAAAGATACTGTTGTATTCAGTTCTTTCGTTTATGTATTTATAAACAATTTGTAATGTAAGCAGAAAGTTTTAATGTGTAATTATTGAATAAAAATGAAGTAATATTGACAAGAATTTATTTAATATTATCAAATTAATTAATCAGTGTTGCCTCAACGTCGGACGCTCTACACTTTCGCTAAATCAATATATTAAACTAAGTAAATGCCAAATTCTAAGTCCTAATTAATTAAAACTACGCAATTACGAAACTGTTACA